TGACTTCCTTCTTGTGCTGGCCTTGACTTCAGCTTCCTAATCTTATTCCTGTGTATTTTTAGCTCTATGATCCTATAACAGCCAATTTCTCACTCTACCCCAACTCTTTCTTTATCCATCTCAGTGTATCAAGATTCTCCAGTTTTCCATTCTCTTGTTTCAGAAGTTTTTCCCTCCTTTTCCTACAGGGCTGAAGCAGATGCCTATGAGTTACTCTTCTGGGGTAGGGCTCCTAGGGTTGACCTGGCAAAGCATCCATTTCCTGTTTAAGTAGAAAGAAAGTCCTCTGTGTGCATATGTGCCTATTTTTCCCTCTGTGGCCTTGCAGAGCAAATGACTGTCAAGAAAGGTTTCTTCCCCAAGGTTGGGCTGGGACTGACTTTGCTCTCCCCGTAGGTGATGTGGTTGTGAACACAAGGTTCTACAGGTCTTTTGTCTTCTGTTAAATGTGGCAGCAGAAGGCAAGACCTGCCAGCAGTTTAGAAGGAGGCACAGGGGCATTGTTAAAGTGAGAAAAAGGTGAGAAACACAATGAGAGAAAGAAAATTTATGGTAACACTTTGGGGCTCAAGATTGTCTCTACCAAAACAGTGGGGCTTGGGGATCATACTTACAGTATATAGCCGTTCTTTAATTTTCTTTAATTGAACTCACTGGTTCAGGAAACTCTACATACCATTTACATGGAGAATAAGGTCTGTTCCCAATAGAAATTTTAGCTGGTGGAAGAATAAAGGCTCTAGTTCCACTAGATTTTGGATGGGCATAGGTGTTATTTCCTTATCAGTACTTAAAATTCACACAACAGAATACAGCATTTTCTAAAGCAAATTTTCTATTTTTAAAGGGCTTGGTACAGAGCTATCTTGACATAACCACAAGCAGCATATCTTCTCAAAAATATATACTTAATTGGTGCCTGTGCAAAATATAAAAAAAGCACACAGACAAACAAAACCCCCAAAGCACACAAAAGCAAGTGAAACCCAGAGATTCCCACTCATATGAGCAGGAGCCAGCGAGAAGGGGGTCTGGGCACTGCTGGAGGAGAAGGGAGTTCCTGCATTGTGTGACAGAAACAGCACAGGAAATATGGAGCTGCTATGTCTCACACGTAATCCCTTCCCTTCAACTCTTCCCTATATGTCTGTCTTTTCCCTCTCTTTATGACAGATCCATATCCCCGTCTCCTTTATTTCCTGCTCTTGCTCCCCTACCTTCCACTTGCTATCCCTTAACCCTCCCTTCCTGACGGCATTTGCACTTCTCATTTATTTCATTTTTTGGTTCTTTTGGGATATTTTTTTTTTTGTACTGAGATTACAGTTCCTCCAGATGAAATTTTAAAAAGGTCATTTTGATAGGCTGGGTCAAGCTTTCTTCAAACACATAGATTTGTGTGCGCACGCACACGTGTGTGTCTGTGTGCACGCCACAGGTCAGAGCCAGGCAACACCAGCAGCATCAGCTGCAGTCTCTCCTCAAGCTGCCCCGCTCATGTCGAAGCAGGCAGGTAGGAATGCCTTTTGGCACAACTACAGCACAGTCTGGTTGCAAATTAAGCTTGATCCTACCTAGAGAGTTGAGCTTTTGCTGTGATTGCTGTTTCAGTTTTGTTCTTCCCAAAGGAGAAGTGAGTGCTGTGCCAATCCGAAACAGGGTTACTTGAGGCATGGTCAGAGCTGTGGTTTGAGCTGCAGGTCTGTAGAGAAGAAAGTTGTTACTATAGCTGGAAGGTTTTTTTAAGGAACTGTGTCTTGGGAACCTGTTGCGTAGATGGTTATAAATGTAGATGACTTGCTACTCAATAGGCCAGTACTGAATGCTGGTGCACTTGAAAAAGCATGCATTTAAATTACATCTCCAGCCTTAGAAAGTTAAAAATTAAGGATCTATATGCTATGGAAAACACATCTATTGATTTGTGAAAATTTTGTGTATTCCTGTTCTATAAAACAGGAAGAAATTTACCTGTGAACAGTAAACAGTAAAGTTATTATTACCATTGACCATTGACTATTTTTTTTTAGTATCTTTCAAGGCAAGCAGCATTTTAATATCCAGAAAGACTATTTTTACTAATTGTAACTCTTCAATTCATGCAGTACATACATATTCAACTTAAGGAGCAAAATGTGCTTTTATGTAAGTATTTTCTCATAGCTTTAGTGTTGATTTAAAAAGCTAGGTTGGTCTGAATGAACACAACGAAGAAGCCCAACTAGGAAAAAATTCCTGAGAAAATAAGGATAAATTAACTACAAAAAGATGCTAAAACTGATCCCAGTAATGTTAAAAGGCATACAAATGGAGCAGGAGGCATTTCTGGCTAAAAGATCACTGGAGATTTGTCACTGCCATGGAACATGATTGAATGGATTGATAGAAGAACACGTCATAAGGCAAGAGAAACAAGCATCACACTTCAATTTGTATCTGCCTGTGGAATTCAAGAAACATTTTATTTTAAAGATTGATAGAGAGTCATATGATTTGAACTTAAAATGATAAATCTAGTCTCATGATTTTAATCAAGGAAGTTGAACAAAAAATACTGAAATATGGATTTGAAAGGTTAGAAGTATTTATTTCTGGACAAACTTTTATTAGACTCACTTCCCAGCATTTGTCTAAATTTTCTAATATAGCTTACAAGGAGAGTTGGTGGCTTGTAAAATGTTGTCAGCCTGTCACAGAAAGGTATAGTCAAAGTAAAGCAAATCACAGACTCTGCAATTTTTAAAATGTTTTATTATAAAGGATAGGAAAACAAATCCACATTTTTTCCAAACCCAGATAAATAAACAGTAAATATCATGCTTTTGATTTTAAATGTGTTTTGCCTTTTGCAATAGGATTTGCAAAAATTGCATTCCTAACTTGGAGACCTGCAAAAATATATCTTTTGAGAATATGGAGGAAGACGGACCACATATTTGGCACGTAAATGAAGACCATTTCAAAAAACTGCTGGAAACTGAGACAAAAAAGCTCTGTGAAGAAACTGCTGAGTAAGGAGTAGTTTGGTAACTTATTCAGCAGAAAACAGCAAATTAACCCTTAGGCAAGATTATTTCAAATATATATATAAATATATACAAATACACAAAAACAAAGGTCTTCCCACTCAAAATCAAACAAACGTCAAATTGTAACAAAAACAGAGAACCCTGTGAGGCCTTGTGATCTTTAAGAAGGGGTGTTTAAAAAAATTCAAGCAGTTTTTTTTTCTCTTCCATAGAAATAAACGGCTAAGGGAAAAAAAAAAAGGGGGGGGGGAATAGAAAAAAACAAAGCAATGACTCTGTTATCATCATACTTTAAGAAAGAATCGGGCCTTTGTTGTGCCTGATCTCAGAACAGTTTAATGAATGAAACAAAGCAACAAACAGACAAGCAAAAAACTCACCACATTCATATTTCATGTGTCATGTTGGTCCCAATTTAATCTATGAGAATGTTACTTTTGATTTCTGTGGGAGCAGAGTAAGCTTTTACATTTTATGTATAGCAGAACTAGAATGTCTGCAAGCTACTTTCCCAAATGGACTTTATTCATATGACTAAATCACAACGGAAAGAGTTGTCTCTATAACCTCAGGGGTCACCCAGGTACTTTGTTGCTTGTTGTTATTGGAACTTTATCTTTTCCCGTAGCTGAATCGTGCATCTTGCCCCACACTTCTGCAACATTTTAACATAACAAAATTATTTGTTAGCAACCTGTAAGCACTCTTCCAAAGTTCTTTTAATATTTATATCCTCTTGAGGCTTTGCACCATTTAGTAGGTTCAGGGCTGCCTGTACAAATTAAATGACCATTACAGAAAATATAAACATGCTATTTACAAGTTCACAATTCTTTATTTTCTATACAATTCTGATGAGTAATTTTTATAGTTGTAGCCTAAGCGCTGCATAGAACTGGCATGCTTCTGATATTCACAAAAATGTAATAATACAGTGAAACAATGAAAATTTAATAAAAAAGTAAAATAATTAATGATAAACTGCGCACATGCAAGGATACTGTAAAATGAATCCATTGCCTTAAGCTATGCATTTATGTCATTTTTATATATCCTAACAGTTTGCCTTCCTGTGCACTTTTGATGGAAATATTCCATGCAAAATCCCATATTTTCTTTAGGATAATATTTCACATTCTTTAAACCTTCCATTAATTTTTCTGTGTGACATTCAGACTGCCTTTAATGAAAGAAGGGAAAAACCTCAAAACACAGCTACTTTTTTTAGCACGCTATAAATCTTAGCTTAGGGATTATGCCAATTATCTGATTTACCTCTACAGAGCAACTGAAGAATTTATGCTTGTCACCCTTATCATACTTCATATATTTGACTCAGTTTATTTATGAGAAACATGTCCTTAAAGGATTTAATGAAAAATAATATTTGCATAAATTATTTGACTCTCGGATTAACATAAATCTATCGACCATTAGAATTCAGTTCTTTTAAGAAAAACAATATTGGGAGTGGTCACCTTGATCGCTTTAAGATGAGTTTTAATAAAGGTGTGTCTGTAATCCTTTTTCATGGATATAATGTTGGCATTTCACAGTTGAATAACATTCTACTCAACAGACTGTGGTTGACACATTTCAGTTCTTCAGATTCTGATGCTGTTGCTGAATAATCTAGCATGTTTTTGTATCTCTTATTAAAAAAAAAAAAAGGAAAAAAATAGAATATCCACTGTCAAGCACCAGATTCAGGCAGAATAACCAGATCCAGTTGTTCATCTCTGGAAAATCATTGCAGCCACCTTCTTCTAAACCAAGCCTTACCCAGTCATCAAAACGTGGGGTGACTGTTGAAGAGTTTTTGCAGGCTATGGGGTGATAATGAAGCAACTTTGCATCATTCATACATGTTGCTTTCAAGAAGCCCTTCACCTTTTACTTTCAGATTGTGATAGCGGTGCTGCTGAGGGCACTGTCGTCCTGGTTTGTTCTGGGATCCACAGCTGAATGCCTTTAGAAGTCCAAGGGCCGTATCATCATGGTGGTGGAGCGCAAGGAGTAGCTGGGGCCTTTGAAGTAATGCCACTTGATGCCATTGAGCTTTCCGTGATTTTGCCCAGCTGTGTAGAACATCCCATTGAGATTGGAGGGGCCGCAGGCATCAAACCACCACCCTGAAACCATTAAGACAAACAATTAAACTGCAAGTGGACTAATACTTCTGGTGTGTGTGGGGGGAGGTACTTTTCATATTTTCCTTTTTTTGCTCTTTTGAGTCGTTCTGTAGCCAGCAGTACTGGAGAATGCATGGTTATATTTACAGAGTTGGAGAAGTATTTAAGACCTAACTCATTCCGGTTTCATATGCAGTATGTGAAGCAAGAACAAGAACAACAAAGACAAATAAACTGCTTTGCATGTTTAGACAGTATTACAGTTCACCCATCTCATGTAAACCTCAGAAAAAGACTATAATTCATAAATATTTTGCATAAATACACTTGTTTCATTATTTTGAGCATAAGCATATTTTAATTTTATTTTCTGGTCTTTTTCTGTTGCTTTGACTGTGATTTTTTAATTGCTCAGACAGCTTGCTTTTACTGTCATGTTAGATGTTCTTAGCAAACATGGGTTATGAGTATGGTGGTGCTGCCCTATTATAGTAATTACAACATTATAGTAATGGATAATCAGTATTCAGAATGGTGTACAAGGAGAAAGCTAGACTCTTTCTTTAAGGTTTATGATAAATTTATAAACAAGACTCAGCAAAAGAACAGAAGAATTAAGTGAAGAAGACAATTATAACCCTGTAGGACGCTGACAGTTAGTCAGAACACCCGTGTGCATGGAGAGATGATTTACATGATTCCCTGAGTGTGCATGCATTTAAATGACAGTAAGGCCAACTTCAATCAAGGTATACTCATTGTGTGTACAGTTTGGGCCAGAAGAGTGACATTCAGTCTTAGATTGTATTATTTTGGATGTGAAAACCTATACTGTCTTGAGCCTTATCATCTTGATCTTGAAATGTGCCAAATGCTTTTGGGTCAGCAGTGTCAGGAGGGTCTGAACTCAGATCTATTTGAGATTTACTCACTTCTCTGCAAACCATCTAAGCAAATTCCCATCCAGCACCTAGAAAACTGACAAATGCCCGTTCAAGTTTTTACTTTTTAAAAAGAGGTTTATAGGTACTTTATTTACATGTCTACGGATAGCAGAAAATTACTAGTTGCCTGACTATCATTGACTACAAAAGGATATTAAAAATGTTACTGACTGATATCAAAGAAAGTTGCTAACTGCCTTTTCTTTCTGTTTTTCTTTAACTGTCCTTTCACAGCAAGATGTGGTTTCCTACTCACTAATCCTTTGAACTCTGTGAAAAAATGCATATATTTTATTCTACTGGAAAGACAGTGCAAGAAATGTCTTGCCCAGATGTTTGTGATTCTAGTTTACTGATCCAGCAGCTGCACTGTAAGGCTGTTCTGAAAAGTGAGGTGACACATTTTAAAAAAAAAAAACAAACTAGAACTTTGCTTTGTGAGGGCAAATCAGCAGTCTGCTTTACAGAATGGCCATGTGAACAGTTGTGTTGGCATGACTGGAGCCGTAGTAAACTGAGAAGTTAGGATAAAAAAGAAGTGTAACAGCTCAGGAACTTTTCAACCTTAGTTTTCTTCCAAAGAAAATGCATGTAGAGCCATACCTTTACCTTTGTGAGTGCTCTGTTAACATAGCACTGAAAATAAATCAGAAATATTTTTCGAGTACTTCTGACTCTTACTAATAATGACAGAGTTTTTGCTACCATTTGTATAACTGAATGCAGAAAATTCTAGCTTGCTAGAAACGTAGGTGTGGTTGCTAACCGTATGCAAAAAAAAAAGTCATCTCACCTTTAGACTTCTGCAGTGAAGATATGCATATATGTCTTTAACCAATGGGGAAAAGGGAGTCAGTCATGAAAAACATTATGAATTTTCAAATCTGTTTTAAATTGTTGCTTCAAGATTAAATTAATTGGTAAACTCTCTTGTCTACATCCCCAAGGTCTTTTCTTGTTAAGGTGAATTTTAGATTGCCATGGGAGTTACAGTCTTAAGGAAAACTCCAAATAACATGAAACTTGGCAACACCAAGATTACAGAATACAAATTGATGAAGATAAACTAGGTGACATGCTGACTCCACTGAAAGTAGTGGGAGTTTTGCTGTATGTCTTGATGGGAATAGAACTTTCTCTCCAACACCTTACAGGGTAGCTATGTAATATAACAAAAAGATGCTTAGTTCCGACTAAGGAAGGCAGAATGAATCCCCAGACTGAAGAGAGCTAATATTCCCAATGTCAAAAGTATATTAACCTTAATGGCTAGGAGCTCTAGCTTACTGCTGTTTTTTTTTTCATAATAAGACCCACAGGCTTGGTGAATCTTTAGCACATTTTATGCATCTTTCCATGTAATACGGTTTTACCGAACGTTTGTCTTCATGTATGAAGGCAAATAATATCACAAAGATGAGGTGGTGGCTTTTGCTTTTGGTGGTTAAATGCAACTTTATTTTAAAAAGCTGTTTCAGTCTGCATGTCACAGGATTGCAATCTTCCCGGGACTCCCTGCAAACCTTTTTCAGGTGCCACTGGTAGTGGCAAACTTATCATCTAGTGAGTGGCTACTAAATTCTGCAGGTGTCACTGTGGAAAGAAATGCAGAATTTTAAATTTTCAGTATGTTTCCCACTCTGACTTCTGGAAATGGAATTAAACTAGGAGAAGCTCCTTTTAGACAATGTGCATGGCCCTAGTGAATCCTCCAATCTCCCCATATTCAATGGTTAGCCTTTTATCTACCTATAATAAATGCATTGTATGAAGGTATTTTAAACTATGTCTTACTACTACTGATATGATATTGACCGTGATTAGCATTCAGATCCAGTGCTTACTCTGTCCTTTGTATTCAGATCCATGTAATTTATGTTTCTAGTCTTGTAAAGTAATTTCTTAGATTTTGGATAATACTTAGTGGGCTTTTTTCAGAAGTAACACTTCATAATGAAATCTTGAGGGAAGAATTTATGCCAGATAAATTCTGGCAAACTTCTATTTTGATGCAATTGACCTCCCTTTGATTACAATGTTGTACCTAAGGGGGCAATAACCAAAGAAAGAGAAAGTCATACAGCTGATGTTTTACTGTAACCAGAGTATAATCTTGTAGAAACTTAAGACAAAGTTAAACAGAGAAAATCTAATCCTCATTTTTCAAAGCTGGAACACAGATGCAGCTGGGTTCTGTTTATGGTGTTGGGATGAAGACATGGCAAGCTGTGCTAGTTACCATTTCATCTTAAAGGAACAGCAATAGATGCGTAAATGGGCTTTTTGGGGAGAAGGTTTTCAGCGGTGCCCTACAAGATCTATGTTAAAAATGGAATGAGCCAAGGAAACAAAGAATTTTATAAAACTTTTGTGAGGACCTGCTCAAATGTCTTATCATAGATTTCTTCTAAATAAATACTCTTTTCAAAATGCATTTTAATGAGGATCTTTTTTTTTCTGTTATACTGTTCCTATTAGTGACACTGTATGGATATTTTTGAAGATGCTTCCTAATACTACATTAAAATGTCTGTCTTTATTTGAGTGGGTTTTTTTCACCACAAGGTTATTTCTCTCCATCCTCCCCTGCAGTTCTCTAAAAGCTCTTCATTGTCCATAGTGTCTCAGGTTGTCACAAAGCTTCCTACTCTATATCTCAACACCAAAATCCACATCTTTAAATGAATGCAAAGGAAATGTGTTTTCAGACAATTGTATATTGGGGCAAAGAGTACAGGAAGCAGCGACTTTCTTGGTAGCTTTGTAGGAAGTCAGGGAACATAAAACAAAGGTTTCTGAAAGAGATACCTGCACCACTGTCATTGCAGAAAACACCAAATAGAGGAGCTCCAGAGCTGTGAGACAGTTTGACCCAAGGGAATACTCCCAGTAGCTAGGTGTTCGCTCATTCCCTGGAGTTCACAGGATTTTCCTCCCATGAAGAACCTTGTTTATTTTTCACTACAAGGTAACGGCTTTCCCAAATAAGTAACAACTCTTCTTGGAATAGCAGTAAGATTTTAACACCAGAGATAGCTTTTGGCAATGATTACCATGGGATATTTGAATCAGGCATGAGAATCACGAAGCATGGACATTTTGAGAAATAATAAGTGAAGCAAGATTTTAAAGTGACTAATGAAGTGGTGACGAGGAAGCTTTCATGAGGTTATGAGAATTTTTATTCAGAAACACAGGTAGTTTCTTCAAGTTGTTGTGACCATTAAGTCACTAATTGCTTATTTGAACTGAGGGCCAGTTCACTCTTTTGAGGTTAGCCCACTCCTAATAATTTGTATAGTACAAACAGCACTACGGTCTCTGTTTGCAATAAAGATCCTTAGGTCATAAAGTATATCGTCCAAACAAAAAATATTTTAGATAATACATTGGTAAGTTGTTTGAAAGTTCAGCTATACAAATAAACATGAATCCCTGCTCACGCTTTGTGGAGTGTTATGCTTTGGTTTTTAGTTAGTGTTGCTGTTACTTCTGGGAAGTTGTTAAATTTCATGTCAGCTCTTTTCATTAAATAATTGTATTTTGACTGCTTCAGTCTACTTCAGCCACCTATCACCAGATAGTTCAGCTCCACAGACCTGCTTGTACTATGCCTTTGGTCAAATATGAATATATATTGAGTTAATTTCTACAAGTTCTTACAAAAATCTACCTAATAAAAGAGCATTGCTCAAATGAGTAGTCATATTACAAGAAAAAAACTATGGCTGTCTTTTATAATGTTTTTCTGAAGTCACAAATATAATTTTTATATGATAGAATCTTCTCTGTCAAAAGCAACATAGAAAGGTTTTTGTATGCCAAAGCTAACAGCTTTTCTTTGTTGGCTTGCTGTACAAATTGTAATTAAGCATGTATGTATGTAAAATTCTTTGTTAGTAACCTAGTGCTCATCAATTCATGAGTGAACTGTAAACCTAGCCTGCACTGGAAATTCGCTAATGACCACTCGGGTTTGATGAGAGGTTCTTAGTTGCCTTTTACACACTAAAAGAATAGGTGTCTAAACCAAACACATTTGATGGCAGTCCCTTT